AAGGCCAAGGATCATGGGGGAAGAGAGGAAAAAATGAAACAAGATGAAACCAGAGAAGGAGACAAACCATAAGAGACTCTTAATCATAGGAAACAAACTGAGGGTTGCTGGAGGGGAGGGGGTGGGGGGGATGAGGTAACTGGGTGAGGGACACTGGGGAGGGTATGGTTGTAATGAGCACTGGGTATTATACAAGACTGATGAATCACAGATCTGTACCCCTGAAACAAATAATACATTATATGTTAATTAAATTTAAATTTTAAAAAAGAATTAAAAAAAGAACACTGTGCTAATATTTACAAATTTACACATTAAATAGATGACTCTAAGGAGTCACTGGAAGAAACTGGACAATAAAAGTATGTCTAGTCATCAAAGTTAATAATTAAAGGAAATATTCTACCATACACATAAGAATTCACTATTCCAAAGGCAGCAAATCCAGTTTCTTTTATTGATGTGAATAACTATTCAATCATTGTTGTCTAAAAAAACTAAAATTTTTCTCTCCTCAAATCAGCAGTGCAAAGCAATTCTAAGATAAAATATGTTCTAAGGATGAAGACCTAGCTCTCCACTCTCCCTTATTTTGCAACTAATGCTCTGAATCAGGTGGATCAATTCAGTTCATTAAGGTTGCTATCTCATTATAGCAGTAACCTAAGCAATTCTGGAAAATGGTCAAGATAGGATTCATAGCACAAAAATTAACGAAAACCAGGCACACAGAACGGATGGGAATTCTTCTCTTCTCTAGAGCTTAAATTAAAAAACTGAGAAAGATTCTTGAACTCCCAAGCACATGCCTAATTCTCAATTACATGGGAAATAACCAAAGCTGCATTTTACCAGCAAATAAGTTCTTAATGACAATGCCAGAAAAGCATGCTGGCATTTGTCTGTTTGGGAAATCACAAAGTAGTAGGCAAGAGAAAACCTGCAGTACCATTAAAGGTCCTTGCTGATAAAATAATGAATAGTTGTAAAATTAGTAAAAGTTACAATAAAAAGATTTGAAAATAAGGAATCCATGGTGATTCCTCAAGAGTAAAATTCCAAAAACCTATTCACAGGCTCATCTCTACATTCTTTGTTATCTTTGTATCCCTAATACCTAGTACAGTTCCTGGTATTCAGTCTGTTGACTGAATCAGATCATTCTACTCTCAGTTGAACCATTTTCAAACCTAGCAACATATTTTCATTACAATTTTTTGAAGATACTAGAGTAGGGGACCTCTGTCCATAAAACTCTATACATGACAAGGTGCCATTCACTTTATAACAATAAATGCAGAATCCTCTCCACAAAAAAGTTAAAGGACTTTGTCATTACCACCAAGATTTTTTTTAATGCTGCGTAAGAGCTAATAACTTTAGGAATGTTTTATGAAAAACTGCAAATCATGAATTAAGCTCATGCTTCTCTAAGAGGCTACTAAAACCTAATTACATGTAAGTTTCTACACATGATTCTTTGTAAAGTTAAGCAAAATTCACGTGTAATTTTTAAAAACTGCATTCACGTTTTGGGAAAATGGTGTAAAAAAACAAATTCACAAGCAGTAGGTCCCAATCTCTCTCATATCACTTAAACAGATTAATATCACTAGAGATAAGAAACAGATTATCGACTCGTATTAATCTTAAGTAGAGTTTCACTAAAATAATTATTTGGCCTCTAACTTTTGCTGCATGCAACTTAATCTGGTACGGTTTTTTGACTTCTAAGTCCAAAATGAAACAATTCGATTTTATGAAGTAAAAGTTGCTTAATTTTTGAAACCTTTCTAGTTGCAATGGAAGCTCTCCGACACCCCTGAAAAACACCACTTATCGTAAATAAAAGGCATGGAAGGAGATAAGCTGACATTCGCTTGCTTATTTTTACCGTGTGAAGAGCGCTTTTTCCCTGTCTTGTCCGTTGTATGAATATGCAGAAAAAATACTCAAACTTCCAAAAGTTGATTGGAGGAAAAGTAGAAAAACAGGAAAGCGAAAACAGGAACCCGGACCTCTGCCGGTTCTAGAACTGAACGCTCCGCACAGGTGGCAAAGCCCCGAGAGGCCAGAGGCAAGGCCGGCCTTGGCTCCCCGGGCTGCTGGGCCTCCCTGGGGGCGCCCCGCCCGGCCCCCGGCTGCGGACAGCGGACGCCGCGGCTCCCGGCACCACGGGCTCCAACGGAGAGCCGCCGCCCCGGACGCCGAGCCCTGCCTCGGCCGGCATGACTCACCGCCACCGGGACCCTAACCCCGAAAGTAACGTTCGAAAGCCCGTCCCTCTCGCACCCCAAGGGGCAGCAAGTGTCCCGAACAGGACGGCTGCGCAGCGACCGCGACGCAGAGCCCTCCCGCAGGAGCGCTGCTGGAGCTGAGGCGGGCCGGGGAGCATCCACCCGCAGCCCTTGCTCTGTAGCTCCCTTACTCTGTGAGCCGTCGTCAACGCGGTCGAACTCCCAGTCCGGGGACAGAGTCTCCACCGCCATCACCCCGGCGCCTCCCCTAGTCACAGATCCAACCAGCCTGGGCGCCCACGGCGGCCTCACCCCGGCCGCGGTAACGGCACGTGACTTCCGGCCCCGGCCCCGCCCCCGCTCGCGAGGGCAGGCCGGGCTCAAGGCCCCAGCGGGGCGCGGGGGCTGCTGGGAAAGCGAGTCGGCCGCGGCGGCACTAGCTGCATCCTCCCGCGGCGACTTGGGCCTCGCCACCGCTCGCTTCACATCTCAGGCCACATCGATGCCTTTGACTTCGCCCTGCTGTCTCCAGGTCATTTGATACCTGGGGAGTTGTTCCAACAGTCTAGCCTAACAAGGGTAAAATTGATGGGGTAGTGGCTTAACAGGAGGGCGTGGTCCTCGAGTACGTCGCTGTCCAGGCGCTTCTTAGAAGCAGGAATTGCCAACGCCCTCTCTGTCACTGTCATCGGAGTTCCTGCTTCTCTCCTCTTACAAGTCCTGGGCAATCAGTTCCTGAGAACAAAACGGTGTGTGAGAGGTGGAGTTACTTTACGAACGCGCTAGCGAGGAATCTTACTACTTTGCTTACCTTGTGCTCACCGGTCCTCCGCCACCTCCTCTTAAAAAGGAAGGGAGGGAAGAAGAAGCGCTATTCAAGTGTGTTCTAAAATGCTCCTACCTGCTAACTGGCTTTTCCGCGAATGGGGATGTGTTACCCAGTAACGTTCATTGCTGCATGGTTTTTAATACATACTAACAGGAAATAATCTTAATGTCCATCAATAGGGAATAATTACATAAAGTTTAATACATCCATATTATGAAATACGAGATAGATGTTTTTAAAAATGAAATACGTTTGTAGAGACATGGGAAACTGACAGAGGGTAGTTGCAGAATAATGTGTATTTGTGCTTACATTTATACTGTTTGTGCATATGGGCGTGTAAATGCATAGAAAGAGAACTCAAATCGCACTGAACAGGATAGAAGCCAACTGGGAAAGAGTGTGTTGGAAATTAAAAAGCGGATTTTCAAGTTTTTTTATGTCCCCTTATGTATTTTTTAATCTTTAACAATGAGGTCTTATTGAAGTCTTATTTCTGTAATCTTAAAAAGGACCAAAAATAACTAAATGAAAGCAGGTAAAAAGTTTCTAGAAGAACGTTCCCTGAGACCTGTGGATCTGCAGTAGGTCAAATATTTGAGTGCCCACTAGATACCAGGCACCATGCTAGATATAATTATGGAAAGAAAAAAAAAAACAAAAAAAACAGGTACTGCGGGTCTCCTTGCAGAGGCGGCAGCTCCAGAGCAGAGCAGGGAGCCCGATGCGGGACTCGATCCTGGGACTCGATCCTGGGACTCCAGGATCATGACCTGAGCTGAAGGCAGTCGCTTAACCAACTGAGCCACCCAGGCGCCCCGATTTCCTCAGTTTTAAAATGGGAGTGATAATAGTAAACACATCATGGTATTGTTATGAGGACTAGTTTAGTTTATACATGTAAGAGGCATAGAACAATGCCAATCGCATACAATAGAAGTGTTTGCTATTTTGAATCATTGTAACTTTATTTTTTAAAGAAATCTTAGGGATTGCCTGTCTTTATCTTACATACCTTTAAATCAAATTCCAGGGCCTAGAATTTCAAATTTTATTAGAGAATTACAAGCTAGATGTGAAATATAAAGCACATTCACTATAAACTGAAATGTGCTCGCTCAAAGTTATTTATTACAGCAGATGTCCTATATTTCTAGGCTTAGTCTACAGAAGGCAAGTAATCATTTTGAGGAATATCCTTCTTTCTACTTCTTTCTACCTTTCCTCATTCCAATATCAGGACTGTCTGAGAGGAGAGCTTGGAAATAGAAGGGGAAAATTTTTATATAGACAGCATTGAACTATTTTGAGAACTTCAAAGAATTTTAGAACAGCTGCCCATAGAAGTTTCTTGCAGGGTCCTTGCCTTTAACACTTAAACTCGCAACTCAAGTACCAGTTTATTCCATACCAAAACACGTGTTATATATTATAGAGCTAAGGTCTTGGTGAACTTGTTTCTTAATATACATTTAAAGTATGTTTCCAACAATAGAAATTCTATGGTAATAACTCCCTAAAGACATTTCACTTAATAAGTCATCACAAAGTCCTATGTGATCTGTCAAAAAGATTCCAAATGTGTTAATTCATATATTTATTTTTATTTATTTATTTATTTGTTTGTTTGACAGAGAGGGGGCCAGAGCACACACAAGCAGGGGGCGCAGCAAGCAGAAGGAGAGGGAGAAGCAGGTTCCCCATGGAGCAGAGAGCCTGACAGCATGGGGCTCGATCCCAGGACATGGGGATCACAACCCGAGCCAAAGGCAGACGCCTAACTGACTGAGCCACCCAGGTGCCCCAATTCATATATTTCTTTACAAAAGAATCCCTCACCTGGACAATTACTGTAAACCCGTGACAGATCTTCTCTTTCCATTGTCCACACTGTTCTCCAAGTGCAGTTCTCAAAACCTATCTGATCAGGTTATGCCTCACTTTAAATCCATTGCCCTTGGTTTGAAGTTTTCACTTCATAAGATGGAACACAAGGCTTATTGCAATCTGCCCTTTGATTATTCTCTAAATATTCTGCCTCTTCTATGCCCTAATCTACACCTACTTTGTTCTATTGGGATGCCAAACCATTTGCAGTTTCTCAAACAGGTCCTGCTGCTTCCAGCATATGTAAAGGACTTAAAATGCTTCCTGGCATGTTGTAAATGCAAAATAAGTGCTGCTATTATCTTGACTATCACTCCTGATCCCTGCTTCACTCTCCCCCCCGCCAGTTGTTCCAAACTTCTACTCCATCTCATTGGCCAGAACTTAATGAGATGACCACCCCTGACCTACAGGTAGGTCTGGGAAAGGCAATCTTTGAGTTGGGTGGTCATGCATCCAGTTAAAAATTGGTTTTAGGAGTGCCTGGGTGGCTCAGTTGGTTGAGTGTCTGACTTTTGGTTTCAGCTTGGGTCATGATCTTAGAGGGTAGTGAGATGGAGCCCCGCAACGGACTCCATGCTGGGAATGGAATTTGCTTGGAATGCTCTCTCTCCCTCTCCCTCTGCCCCTCTCTCTCAAAAAAAAAAAAAAAAGGTTTTTATTAGATGGAGAAAGGAATAATGTGTCATGGGAAGCCATTAGTTTCTGATGTAAAAGTTAACGTCTGAACTGAATTTTGACAATATTGCCACTCCCTTTTTTAAAATACTGTCAGTGGCTAAAAACTGTCTTGCAATAAAAATAGCATCTATGGAAAAAGCCTACATCATCTTCAGCCTCTTTCCTTTTTGCTTATGATGATCCAACCATATTGGTCTTTTAATTCTTCCAAAAAACCAAGCTCTTTTCCACATGAAGTCCTTCCCATGACATGAGAATTATTAGTTTATTCTTTTATAAATATATATTTATCATCTATGTACCGATCACTGTACTTAGCATTGAATTGTATCAAAGAGACACAATTTGGATGTTCATAGAGCTTACAGTCTAGTGGGAGAAATAGGCTTTAAACAAGTAAACTTCTAATAATTAAATGATAAAAAAAATTTTTTTTAAAGATTTATTTATTTATTTATTTATTTATTTATTTATTTAACAGAGACAGAGAGCGTAAGTAGGCAGAGTGGCAGACAGAGCGAGAGGGAGAAGCAGGCTCCCCACCAAGCAGGGAGCCCGATGCGGGGCTCGATCCCAGGACCCTGGTATCATGACCTGAGCCGAAGGCAGCCGCTTAACCGACCAAGCCACCCAGGCGCCCCTAAATGATAAAAAATTTTGATAAGAGTTACAAAGGAAAGGTATATATACTGAATACAAAAGGTACCTACTTGGGATTGTGTAGTCAGGAATGTCCTCACTAAGGAAGTGACATTTAATCTGAGATATGAAAGATAAGTGGTAGATACCCAATGGGGGTATTTGTTAAAAGAATAAACTAATAATTCTCATTTTTTCCATTGCTCTGTAATAAATATTCATTCTGCAGGACAATTATTTCCTCTTAGTTCTTCAGTGGGTGGCATTGCTTGTTAAAGAATATATAAGAGTAAAAAAATAATTTAATAAAATATTATATATATATTTCTATGTAAGTGATGATCTACAAAGTAGACCATAATTTAAAAAGCATACCTCAGGGGACGCCTGGGTGGCTCAGTCAGTTAAGCATCTGCCTTCAGCTCAGGTCATGATCCCAGGGTCCTGGGATCGAGCCCTGCATCGGGCTCCCTGCTCAGCAGGGAGCCTGCTTCTCCCTCTGCCTGCTGCTCACCCTGCTTGTGCTCTCATTCTCTCTCTCTCTGACAAATAAATAAATAAAATATTTTTTAAAAAGCATACCTTGGAAAAATCTTATATTTAGCATGTTAAAGTAATTGACAAGAACATATCTAGAAATGGACAAGCATAAAGTAGTCAAGTAAACCTACTTGCAGTTAAAAACTAAGAAAAGTAGATAAAGTATAGTAATAACTTTAAAAGATTTGAAAAATAATAAAACCAGACAGAAAAGCACAGGAAAATGACTCAGAATTCTGGATGTACTCAGAATTTACTGGTAAGAATTATGAGTTTGTGGCTTTCTGCCTGACAGTGTCCCTCACCCCTTCAAGTCAAGAAATGAAACACTGTCATACTGGCTCAAGGTGGCAGCAAACCAAGTTCAGGATTGTTGGAAGAGAAACTGGAAATTTGGAGGAGCATCCTGAAAAAAGGGACTCACAGAGGGGATGAGATCCAAAACCTATGTGTAAACATTGCCCAGATCCCTGGTTAACCACCAAACTACGTGCAGAGAGCCTGCTGAAATCATAATCAAGAGTGCTTAAAAACACCCACACTGGGTGAGAGGTGTGCTTGCTGCCCTTTGATGCATATATTCTCCACCAGATGTGCACCTGGGGTAGGAAAGCTGAAGTCCTGTGGGTTCAAGACGGCAGAGAATGGAGATCGGGCTGGCAGAGCAGCTTGAAAATTTAGAAGAGAAAACTGATAATCAAGGGAATTGCTAAGGAGGTGAACCCCCAAATCTGAGCAAAAATGCTGGCCAAACCATTG